AAAGATTTTGCACGATTTCCAAAGCAGATGTATTTTCGTCCATGGTGGGATTACGAGGATAGACTGTTGGCGGTTTTTAAGATTACCTGGGTCCTTCTTATGTTCAGCCAATTGATGTTTATATTTGGCGATTTGATCACGAAATTCCTCGCTTATGGCCGGAAACAGATTGATAGGGTTCATCTTCCTAGTAATAATCTGGGCACCAGGCGGAGGTGCTGCTGAAGTGAAGAAATCAAGGCTATCCTTCAACCTTTTAGCCCTTCTTCTGCTACTCCTGTTCTTATTCCTTTTCTGTCGCTCATGGGGTGTCAGATTCCTGATTCAATCAATTTCATTAAGTGCGAGATAATTTGCCCAATATGAATTTGAAAGAACATTAATCCACCAACAGAACCAACAGAAACAGAAAAGAAAAAAGATTGAGAGAGGCAGAATTGGGGTTTGAGGACAAAGAATACACAAATAAGTCAGTTTGTGAATATCAGGTAATCAGGAAAAATTTGATGAGTACAAACGCTGCTTCTTTGCGCTTTCGCTTTTTGGGTTTCTTAGATACCATGGGCGTAGGGTTTTCAGTATCCGTGTTTCGACAAGACAAACTTGAGAGAGATGAAGATCGATTGGATTGTGTTTTGGTGGTCTTCTCGGTAATCTCGTCAATACTAGTCAAGTCCTCGTCAAGACTGCTCAAGCTAGTCAATTCCGAGCTGGCCGCGTCACACTCTTCAAGATCTGGTTGAGAATCATTTGATGGAGTGAGTGGTTGCATCTTCTTTGCAACAACGGCAGCGATACAAAAAGAGCGTCGCACAGCGAATCCTGTCCCTCCTCGAATTGTTTTAAGTGCGATGGCTGCAGAAAAATAGGACCCACACTTGTTAAGTCAGATACCAATTGTTAAATTTTTAATATAAATTTGTTTACAGAGAAAAAAAACTGACAGGAACCATAATAAATAGCTGGATTGTTTGTTGGAGGCCTAGCAATATCAGGAACCTTTGGCAAAGATGAGAGACCAGAGAGGCCCCAAGTAAGACGGTGCCGAACGGCCGATGTATTTTCTGGAGTCCCAGATCCTCCAGTAAGTGAATGCGAAGAGGCTAAAGATGTTGGAGGTGCGGCCAGGCGACCAGAGACTGATTGATTTCCTTTCCACCTGGCGACTTGTGGAGAAGCAGCGAGGACAGCTGCAAAGGTTGGTTTAGCTGCAGAGCCATTGTCGATTGCTCCAACGGATGTAGGGGCCCGAGTCTCAGTCGCTTTAGCTGAGCTTTTGCTGATGGATCGTACAGGAGAAAACTTTTGACTGGAAGCAGAAACCACAGCTTCATAGGTTAGACTGGGGGTAGGGGATAAAGACCCACAGTTGGACTGAAAAGTGGAAAAATGGTTTGTTAGCTAGTACAATAAGTGCAAAAAACGAACAAGGATTAAACATCAGTTACCTTAAAGTTAGGTTGGTTGGAAGAGACCACAGTTCCATTTGGATTGTTCATGATCGAGGAAGTGAGAATAGACTGGTTCTATATCGATGAGGTGATTGATGAACAGGCTTGCTGAGGATTGAGTGAGACTGAAGCGAAGGTATTCAGAGCGAGGTGATCGAAGCGAAGGTAGTCAGAGCCAGGGGAGACCGGAAGGCATCAAGCAAAACTCAAATTTAGAGTATCTCCACGCTGTGGGTGAGTGCGGAGGTGGGGGGGGGGGCTGGATTGGCCGGGTGATGGCAAAAGTTTTCATGAGTGAGATAGACCAGCAGGTAAGTAGGTGACTACCACTGACAGTCCATGCTCAGTTGCAAGTTCAATTCTGGCATGTGGCAAGGAAAGTTGATTTTTACAGTATTTCACAGAGAAGTTACTCAGCTGGTAACTTGGGTAATGGCAAGGAACGTACTGTAACCCCAAAAGGATAAGTTACCGTTACTCAAGAAAAACTATCCTACATTTCTAGTACGTTACCCAACAAGAAAAAAAATGATTTGAAACTAAAGTTACAGTACGTTACATTACTAATAAATTGAGGTACGTTACTGAAAAGCTGAAATTGGGATAACAAAAAAAAGTTACGGTATCCAATTGTCAACTTGTAACGTAAAGTAACGTATCTGCCCATCGCTGCTCAATGTGTAAGCCCTGCTCCTCACAGGCTTACACAAAATTGTCATGAGCTTACATAAGCCTATCCCGGGTTGTATTTAGTCTCACTCTTCCCCTTTACCTAGACAGCAGAGATCTTTCTCTCCTGTCTAGGTAAGTACCTTATCTTCTTTCCCTCTCTTCTCATTTTCTTTCCTCCATTTCCTCCACTTGTAGATACTAACTGAGAGATCTTTCTCTCCTGTCTAGACTGCAATTCACCCCACCTTGGTACTAGAATCCTTCCTTCAGGAGCTATTGAGCCCCTTTTCTAGTGCCATTCCGACGGACAGTGAAGGACTCGACGGAGTCCTTACACAATGCTCTTTGGCAAAAGCACAAACATGCTTTTCACCCTTGTGTAGTTCAAAGACATTCTCTCAGACACCCTCAGCAATGCACCTTTGCTCTCATTGCACTATTCACTCATCACATAGGCGCTTGAAGAAGGACATTCAAACTTCATCACTGTCTCAATCAGCTCTTACCCAGTCTCCTTCAAAACCTGGCTAGAGCATGGCATCTTTTCCAGCCCAGAGACCATACATTGAGGGGGAGAAGAATTCCTCTTGGCCTTGAGAATGTCCACCACTGCCAAGAGGAATTCTCTCAACTCAAGATTGTACCTTGAGATGGAGAGGGGTTCCTCCTGGCCACAAGACCTGTACAAGTCTTGATGGCCAGGATGAATCCCTCTCAGCACTGAGATTATTAAGTCTCAATGTCCGCAAGGGATTCCTTGTGTTCATCAAGACCGTACAGTCTTGAAAGCTGGAAGGGATCCCTTCCAGCCATTGAGACTGTTATACAACAATGGGCCAGTTATGCTAACTGTAGCGTTAGGGCAGCATAATGTAGCAGAATTCTGCTAAAATTTAGTGTAGCTTAGTGGGATTCTGCCACAACTGGGCTAATGCTACACATGCAGGCCATAAAAAAGTACCCACTGCACTGCACTTCCACACATTTCAGCTGTTTTTTGGCTGTTTTTGCTGCTAGAAGTGCTGTAGTGCAGTGTAACACAGCATAGTGGGACTGACAGTGCACTAACACTACAGTGTTGGCATGCTGTTTTGAGTGCCACTAAACTAACATTAGTGGTCTGTTTAGCATAGTGTAGTGCAGCAGCCTATTGCTCTGTAAAGTCTCAAACAGTCTCAAGGACCAGAAGGGATATCTTCTGGTCATTGAGACTGTAAAGTCTTGACAGCCCAAAGGAATCCCTTCCAGACTTCAACAAGCTTGACTACTGAAATGAAAAATAGAAACAAAAAGTTTGATTGTGGTAGCAAAGATGTAACATATCCGGTCCAATACGGTAATCCACACAGAGGAGGATCCAGCCAATCCAGTATCGGAAAGGATTGGATTGGCTCAAGCAATACCAATCCCGAGCTCCCACACTCCTTAGATCGGATCACTCTAGCTGATCCCAATCATCCAATAAATCGGGATTGGATCAGGAATAGATCTGATCCCAATACCATGTATTGGGCAACATTTCAATCCGATCCCCAATAAGTACCAATCCGGGGATCGGATCTGTTACATCATTGGTGGTAGGGACTCCCAAACCTGCATGTGGGATTGGAACATTGACTCCCCAGAACCATCTTTCAACAGTACAGGGATTTGTTTTTCCAATCCCCTTTCCTTGTTAATCAAAAATTAAACATCAAATCCATCAAAATAGCAGGAAGGGATCACAGACAACCAAAAATTATATCTGAAGGTTTCAAAATGCCCGCTCTGAAATCCAAAGCAAAAATTTCAGATTTTTCCGTCAAGGTGTAATATTACACTAGCCATGAAATATGGATAGGAATAATTGCTCTTATTATGGGTAATATACTATTAAAATGCTCTTATATATCTTGTACACTATGAAATTTAGATCCATGGACAAGCTCCAATTCTGTGTTGCTTGTAGTATTTTTATAAAATGGAACAAATAGTTGCCCAAGGTATTCACAGCTGTTTGAGCAATTCATAACAAACAATTGGGACTGCTCTTGGAATTTGAATAGCATTTTTTATTCTTACTGATAGAGTACATAAGATGTCTTTGAATTTCTTTGGAACTTTCCCTGCTGTGGTGAGATGGGTGTGAAGAGTGGTAGGAGGGGTAATATTCAACATATGGGGATTGGTCCTCAGCCCGCTCCCTAACTTGCAGGTTGGGCATGAGCATGAGTTGACTGGTTGGGGTGGCAGATGCCTTGGAGCATCCAGGGTTGCCGATTGTTCCGGAGTTTTCTTGTGAATTTGAATTTTTGCACGGAGAAGTTCCTCAGAGTCAGCAACCGAGTCGAGACCATGATCATTGAGCAGGAGGTCTCCATGGGAAAGCAGTGTGAAAGAGGTGCAAGTTGTATGAATATGTATGGAAGTACCCTTGTATAAATAAATAAATATGTAAATGATTATTGCTGGTGTTTTCTTTAATTTGGGGTTGCAGTGCTTGTCATGGAGTGCAGTGTGGTCTCAGAGACTGTATGTATGTTCGGAATCCAACTCAGCCAAGAGCGTTTGTCTTGGTCCTCGCTCGCCTGTTCCGGTCTCCACCACATCAGTTTCCTTATCCACACCCTGACTCCAGTCTTCCGCCCTATAAGCAGCTTGCAGTGCTTGATGAGAATCTGGAGTGACTCAGTCAGACTACTACGACCATGGACAAACTACCACTCGACTATTCTCAGCTGGACAGTCGCACCGCAGACTCAGACAGGCCCACTCAAGCTCAGCCTGAACGCAGGGCCAGCTTCGACACCTCCTCACTCAAGCTCTCCTTCGCCAACAGCAGCAGCAGCAGCAACAGCACTCATCCCCACAACCACCTGTCCACCCCATCCACCTCAGCAGCCCACCATCCCTTCCGAACGCCCTCCTCAGCCATCCATCCCTCCTCCACCGCAAGCCCCCTGCTCGCCCTCAAACGCAACAACAGCCAACCCAACCTCCACCAGCCCATCTCACACCCAACACCCTCGCCAACCCCTCACAAGAACTCTCTTCTTCCCATGGACCAGCAAGACATCCCCTCCCTTCCCTTCACCAGCTTCCCCAGGCGCTGTTCACCCAAGCTGGTCAGCCACCACAAGCGCACCCTCAGCGTGACCTCGTCGATCGGCAGTGCGGCAGCCCATCATCACCAGCTGCTCATCCTCAACAGGCATCCCTTCGACCAAGATGATCAGGAGGACCAAGTCGAGATCGAGGGCGGCATGAGTGGCTTACTCAAGACGGCCGAGGATCACGAAAATCCAATCCTCGACTGTCCACTCGATGACCGTCGTGCGAGCGAGAGCTGCGGGAGTAGTGTCGTCGGAGAGCCGATGTCACTCGATCCTGATCCACCTACCTCCCGTCCATCTCATTCACACCTAGGCGCAAAACGAGTGCGAAGAAAACATGTCAATCGGGCTAACCTTCTGGTCAGTTCACCCAAAACTATCATTGAAGCTCAATCCCCTGCCCACGATGAACAAGAAGAAAAATACTGATTCAAATTCATGACCCACAGCCACGGCCGAAAGCACATCTTAGGGTCGCTGCTCAACTGAGTACAGAGGAGGTCTCGCCGGATTTACTCACAGAGGCCGAAGTCCACAGGCGGTTCAAATCGATACCATTCGTTGTACCACAACCTAGTACTTCCACACCCACCAACACTCTTCCATCGACTACCCCATCAAATTCGCCCTTGATACCTCGTACACCCTCCTCCCCATTCTATCATCATCTCAATCGACCGACCCCTAACCGGTTCCCCGAACAGGCAGATGATGACGACGATGGCATGGGACTGGAGGGCAAAAGCTCTGGCAGCGACGAGGAGGAGCCCGCCGATGACCATCAGTCTCATTGCTCCGGTCTACGCCGCTCAGTGATGAGCCAGGATGAAGAATCAGAAGATCAAAAAATGGTCGAGATCCAAAAGTGGAAGATGTTTCGTGGTTCGGGATCAAGCGGTAGCTGCGGACCTGCTGAAATCAATCGGACCGGGAAGCGACGATGTTTGTTTTCTTTTCCCCTTCTCATCATGTATCATTATCATTCAACCCACAATCGGAAGACGAGTAGAATCAGCTTACCTAAACTTGATGTCCCATTCTCCAGGTCAAGAACCAGAACGATACGAGTATGGAATGTTCAAAAGGAGAGCCGTCTCACCATCTTCCACATCACTCTCCTCATGCATCGGATCACCGATCCAAAACCCGATTCCCATTCCTCAAGCGTGTCCATTGGCCCCAAATTCAGCAACTCCAAGCCACCTGGTCAACCATCAATCAGCAACAGTCAACAGTAGTAGCAGTAGTAGCAGTGCTAGCAGCCTTGGATTTAGAACCAACTTGGGAGCCCATCACTTGATTGTACAAAAGCAATCTCTTCCCTCGGATTGAGACGATCTAATATCTAACTTTTCAAGTAACTCATGAATAAAAATTGACTCCTCTGATGCCCCCCCCCCCATTTCTCATCATTTCTTTTTTGTACTTTTAATAAATCAATTATTAATCAAATTGGTACTCTTTTGCCAGTAAACTCAACCCTTAGAAAACCAAACAAAAACCTTCAAAATGGGTGAATGAATTGAAACATGATTAGCCTAGTCATGGTAGCCATTCTGTCTATGGGTGATTTTCTTTGTCTTCATTCTCTTTTTTTTTGTGAATTTGTGATTGTGTTTGTGTTTGCTTTTCTGTTTACGACTGCTGTGGACTTCAACAAGCTCCTTTGATGATGAGCTTTTCAAGAAGAATAATATAAAACATAGACCTTTGGTTGTCATCCTTCCCCTCTGCTCTCTCCTGTTTCAGGTTGAAAAAAAAGAACCAGCTGAAAATCTAAATGTACCAAAAATGAGTAAAGACATGTATGCTTTCACACAGTTGGGCCACTAGTTCTCAATATTCTGCATTGCTATTTATGTATGTATCGATGTTTGGGGATAGTTGGCCACATCTAGCAGGCAGAGTTGAATCAAGCTCTGAAGAGAGCTTGCTTGGATCTGATTGAAATGCAGATCTTCCCTCTTAACACAGAGATGTCCCCACAAATTGCTGTTAATCACATCAGGTGTGGTATATTGAGCCCCTTTGGGCACTGGAAATTACACTACAGCTCGAGGGGTGCATCACCCACCGGGATCAATTTTTGATTTGTTTGTACAATTCTTTTTTACAATTTCTTGCACATTGATATTTCTGTTCTGACATGAACAAGTCATTTATCTGGTCACAATTTTCCTCCTGCTCTGACATGAACAAATTAGTTATCTGGTCTCAAGGGGGAAAAAAGAAGAAGAGGGGATGTATAGGTAAGCAAAGGATTCAAGATATGAAAAATATCTGAGCACAGTTCTTGGTTGTATAGTTGCTGTGAGCAAAGTGTTTTCCATCATGGGACTGATTGGCCCATTGCTTTGGTGGCCAAACCAGGGACTTGACTATGCACCAGGAGTCTTTCAAACACTGTCCAAAGCCCCAGTGGCACACTAGTCAGTGTGACTTTGAACAGTGCCCAAAGGGTAGTGATATACCATATAAGGATACAGCTATTTGATCATTCTCAGGGCTCTGAGTTAAATATGAGAGCCACAGCTTTGATGAGCATACTGAAGTATAACAGAAGGAGTGGTGGAGAAGCATCAACTTGATCAGAATCACTGCCATCATAACCAGCTGAGCTCAAGTTATCTTAGAAAAACTGGGTAGAACTCAGCCAAATACAAACCAAATTTACCTACCTTGGATTTATGCTCCATTGGTTGAGGTGAATCCATTTCCAATTGGTTGAACACATGCTGTTTTAAATGGGTCAATTTCAAGCCAAATTATTATGCTGGTAAGTGAATGAGCTAGAGATGTCAGAGGTTTTACTTGTGTTTGAAACTGCAAGAAAAACCTGTTCAACTAAGTGCAGTTGACATCTGGGAACTGATAAAAATAATGGTGTTAGTTGCTCTTTAATGGTACTCAAAATGTATTTACAGTCAAGTTTGAGTGTTGGATGCCTCTTGGAGTGTGAGGTATGTAAGATTCTCAATTAATTATGAGGACTGTCTACTCAAAACCAAACAAAAGATGTGGTAAAACTATCTTTGCCAGGTTAGTGGAGATTGAATTAAATTACTTATGTACAGTCTCCTCCCAGATGTTTATAGCCATCTGTTTTGAGCTCCACAGAGGGAACCCAAAAACTTCAAGTCACAAAAGTTTGTGGAATGGTGGAAAATGGGTTTCAAAGAATGAATATGAAAAAATAATAATAATAAATAAGATTTTAAAATTTGTGAAAAAGATAAGAGAAAATCAACTTTTTTTGAAAACTTCAATTTTTTGTTTGAGTGAAAAGTGAACACACGGAGGGCAAGTTTGGAACATGAAAAGAATGATTATAAATGAAAAATATTGATCCAAAAAAAGTTTCAGCATGGTGGGTGGACACCCTGCAGTCAAAATCAGTAGATTGCAGTACCAGAATGCCACATTTCTTGATGAATGACCCCCTAGGCACCCTTTTTAAACCGCCAAGTAGTCATTTTTTTTCCAAATTTTCACTTTTTATCATTCATTCCAGATCTCATACTATCACTTTGGACATTTCATCTTTTCCTGAAAGAAAAATTGAGGCTGTCAGTTTTTGTGATTTTCTACTTTTTACTTTTTACAAATTTTAAAATCTTATGTTTTGTTATTATTTTTTCATATTCATTCTTTGAGACCCGTTTTCCACCATTCCACAAATTCTTGTGACTTGAAATGTTTGGGTTCCCGGTGTGGAGCTCAAAACAGATGGCTATAAACATCTGGGAGGAGACTGTACATTGCCAAAATAAAGGAAAACCTTGACATGTGAAATATGATATTTTTGTCAAGAAAAAGGGTTGATATTTTTGAACATGAAACAGCATGTTACTACAGGATTTCCTGTTGGATGTTGAAAAAATTCACTACCTTGACTAATTGCTGGGACACACAGGTACCATGAGAGCTGTTGAGTCTTTTTGGGATAGAGGTTTTGTGAATGGGCTCAAAGGTAGATTAGAATTAGAGGAATCAAGGGTGACACATATTTGAAATAGAGGAGAAGTAGGAACTGATGACTTTCTTTCACAATGGTCAAGATCCAAAAGAAAATGCACTAGGGTCAAGCTGAGGGAGGAAGAAAATGTCAAAGAGGGAAAGAATACAGAATATAAAATTATCAATGAAACCACCACTGAAACTGATCTTGTAGACTGGATTGATTAAGAAAAAAACCACTGATCAAGGTTCTAGGACCATTTACAACAGTGGGCCAACTCAGCTCACTGTAGTGTTAGTGCAATCCTGCCAACACAATAAGGTTTTCTGGTAAATCTTAGTGGTATGGGGCTAAAACTAACAGCTGCACCCACTAATCTGTACTACAGCGCTGGTGAGCAGCTTTTTGGTGCTTCAGTGAAGCATAGCATAGCCAAAAGCCTCTGAAACTATGGGGGTTGGGCTAAAAAAAGCACTGCCACATTCAAGTGCTACAAAGTGAAAATCAAGCGGTAACAAAAGAAATCAAAGATGTACAAATTTTTGAGCATGAGTCAAAGGCAGAGGACATACAACCAGAGCTACTTGGTGGGAGTTCATGTCTGAAAACCGCTGAGACAGCCCGACCGTCAAAATATCTCTTCTCTGATTCCCCTCAGTCTAGAGCTGTAAAAAATAATCCTTTCTTACACATCTAGCTGTACCAGCATTCTTTTCTCTTGGTGTACCATAACATTTGTCATGTCACATTCTCAGCTCTGCTGTTCCAGCATCACAATAGCTTGTCTCCCATGACGGCGTCTCAAACAACATGCCAATGGCCCCAGCTTTTTGAAGATCCCTTGGCCCATCTTTCTCATCAGCTCCCCTCCAGATTGCCATGCTTTTTGGAATAGTGCAATAACCGTGGTACGATGATATAATGTAGAATTGTTGCTCAAGATTGGTTCTCACCTTTCTGCGAGCTGGATGTGAGGTTGCCAGTTAGCTCACTAAGTATGACAAGCTGATCATAGACCGTGCTCACCAGGTACTCCGGAAGCACAACGTTTCAAATAAGAACAGTACCGGATTGCATCACAAGTTCGCCCATTGTTTACCTCGAAGATCTGATCACATTTCATACCTACAGAACAGGATATATACGTCAGTGCGGCCTGACGCAAAGCAAAAAGAACGAGTTTGCCCATTAAATACAATGTGTGCAATGTCCAATGGGTTTTCCTGAGTTTTTTTTCTCAGACTGTGATCAAAAGGGTGAATGGGACTTATCAAGGTGGCTTGTTCGTCTTGATGGTTTCTGCTGGACAACGCGTCCCGTTCACCTCGCAAAAACTTAACCATTCAGCAATAGCCTTCGAATTCAATCGTTCAATACCTGCATTATTTAGACTTATAACTCCTCAGTTTAACCCTGATCTTTGCAATTGCAACCCTCAGTTCTTTCTTACGAGGGCTTTCATCTGGCTGGTAAAACGCTTCAGATGTCATCACGTAGAAGTTCATACGAGCCGCATCCATCTCCGGGTAGGCTAATCTCTGCAAATTGCTAGCGTATGTGTCTGTGGATGGTACATCCAAGTTCTAACTACTGTGTTTTGATTCTCTTCCCATGTCTTGTTTCTTCAGAAGCACTCCATCTCGACGAGGCATCGGATTTTCGTTTTGAATTAGATGGGTCGCATAGCCATGAGGCATCACAGAATCCGTTTGAATCTGCAGACATAAGTGACGAGAAGGCAGCTTGGGATGCTTCCAGTCTTGATCCCTACGTTATTGATCCAGCAAGAGATCACGTCGAGTCCAACGTCCCATCTTCTTCCCCGGATTTTAATCAGCGACCGGGGTCAGCGAGAAGTTCGTTCTATTCAATCGGAAATAACCAACTCGACTCTCACAGAGCTAGTCGACGATCCTACATGGAGGAGGACTCAGAGTTTCACACGACGATGGAAGATGAACCCGAGGGACACGTCGATTATGATGATGATGGCGATGACTGGGGCGATTCAAGTACGAAGAAGAGGCCCGGATCCTGTTGCAACTCAATTTCAATCAGGGGATTATTGAACATGGGTGCCGTGACTCTCTTAGCCATGGGGTTAGTGGTTATTTTTGGGGTCCTCCCAATCACGACTTATCAAGGCTCTCATCGTCAAGCACAACAACTTGGCGACAGCGGTAGCGCACTCGGCTCAGGAAATAATACTACAGACACTCGCCAGAATACTATGGTGCAGAGAAGATTCGATGACTCAGATCGTAACTTGGTCATTCCCGACAAACTTACTGCAGACGGCTCACTTCGAACAGACGTTTACTCAGCTTCGAACGTTGCTCACCATTGGGGCAAGTGGGAAATGCCGGTCAACAAGAAATGGAAGCATCAACATCTTTCACACGTGAAACCAGAGAAAGCGACTTCCACAAATAACAAGCGATCTGCAAGGAAAATCATTGACGTGGAATTGTAAACTTTCGTTTTTCATCAAGAGATTCTCTTCGGATTTTTTCTTTGCGTCTTGCGGAGCCGTTGTTCCTTCTTTCTCTCAAATTCTCTTGAATCTAATAAATGCACAAAACATGTTGTTCCTATTATATGCTAGCAAACTGCCTACTACCCGCCGGCATCCCACTAAGCGCAGTTAAAGAATGACTAATTAGTAGGATACACCATGTGAGGCAATGACTTGCAGACTGCCGGCCGAAATTGAGGCTGCTATGTAGTTGAAAATCAATGGAGAAATTCTTAAATCATATTCATCCATATTATAAAAACTGGTATGACAATTCCAAATCATTTGGAGTCTCAAGCAAAATTCTGTAGGAATTTGAGGGTTTGATAATTCATTGCAGCAAACACATAAATGCCAATAATGTTATAAAGCTTAAAAAGTGTAAAAGATGAATCAGAAAACAAATCCATTGAGATGAAATACACAAAACAAGAAACAGATAGAAGTGAGAAGAGAAACAGAATGGATAAATGAGTGAATGTGAATTTTCATTGCTCTGTTCACTGCAATAGTTTGATGATTGAATTAGTGGAAGCTAAAAAAAATTGGGAATGCAATGAAAACAAAGGCAAGTCTGAAGATAGGAAGAAAGAAGTCAATAACAAGAAAGGATAAGAAAGAAAATCAATTAAGATGGAATCTGAGTGCCACCACTTGGGTCAATCCTTTCTCCTTTCTTCCCCTGAATCTTCTACATCTGGGTTGAATGATGAGATAGAATGAAAGTTGAAGTTAATAATGATCACCAGTGAATCAAAGGACCCACTGTTTTGGTGGTGTAACAGTATAACAGTAATCAGAAAATCTTGAGCCTGAGAAAGCAACATCAGTGGGGAAAAATTCCTGAGAATCAGCAGAAATGGTATAGCATGAATGTTGAGGGTGTATACACTGGTGCTTGAGAATACACACTTACCAAATTTCAACACATATCAATCCTTGAACTTCATTTTCACATTGCCCTCATTTGAACTAAAATACCAATTTACATACATAATCTACATCACCATGTCATGTTTCCATTGTTATATTGACTATGTGCTTTACTGACACCTACATCTTGATTGACTCTATGTGATGATAGTAGGTAACCTGGTGCATCATTATGCCCTGTGACCTGTCCATCTATGGTTGAGATGCATCTTCCCAAAATTTCGATTAATTGGCTAGCTATCTGTTTTTATTTCCGGTTTTTCACACCTCCATCTTATAATTTTGTGTGGTCATAATTACATATGTAATGTTTAAAGAATATTTTTACCCAAATGCTTTGAAACCAGGCAAGCTGTGATTATCTTCTGCACTTGGCTTCACTGGTTTGTGCCAGTAAGAATTCATTTTCAATATAGTAAATCAGTTTCAAATTGAAAAGAAAAAATGCAAATAGGATGATTAAAGCTCCAACTGTTATGAAGGTGCTAGATAGGAATTATAATCAACATACAAATAACAAAAATGGCAAAAGTAACCTATGTACATTAGTGAGCTTGATGGATTAGCAAACCACATCATTCCAAATTGAAACAAGTCAGAATGCGCCATAAGATGAAGCAATTGGCTCCTGAGTATTCAAGGTGCAGGTTTTGGTAAATACGCGCATTTTAGGACACTGAGAGACATGCTACTCATAGTTAACAAGTAATCAGATTGGACTTTAATCAGACATGGTAGTGTGAGGAGGGGTGAAGTGAAGTGCATATATATTGATGAGACTGCTCATGGCAAGAGTGAATTTGGTTGGTGGAATTTTTAAATCTTCGCGTACCGTGTGTGTTGGTGAATTTCAACAGTCGTTATGCCTCGTTTGTGGTATTTCCCGTGTTTGTCGGTAACGGGGTTGAATTTGAAAACATCGAGAAAGATGTAGAAGTCAAATGCTTGTCATTTAGGCTTTCGTGTCTCAGGGAGCTAGTTTTGCTTCGGGTGAAGTTGGAACGACTCAAGACTTCAAAAGTCTGGTCAGAAATCATGGCCGAGTTTTTGCTCATCGATCGCAGCGAGATCGACGGAGGGATGTGAATCTGTGTAGTACTGCTACTGCGTTGGACCATCGGCCGCGCTAACCCAGCCTCAGCGGACACATCTTGCTTAGCTTGACGAGTGTTGAAGATCTTAGAGTGCGTTGAAGAGCCAGACGTGGAGGAGCATAACGAGGATATTGGGGAGACAGCGGTATTTATCGAGCAGGAAGGAGTGAAATTCTTCTTTCCGAAGCCCACGCGCCAAGATTCGTTTTTCCCAGAGTCGATTACCCTGTAATACCGCAAGGCAGCTCTAGATTAGTCGTTACTTAAGTAAAAACGTAAAGATCATGTTTGCTCACAGCGGACTGATCAACCTGGCGCCTTTAGCAGACTTTTTTCGACTAAGATTGACTGCATTTCCAAAGGCAGGGTTCTGCGACCCCGGCTGTAGTTGAAGTAATTCAGAGGGTGCGCTCAAAGACAGGTCGCGTCTTGGGGGAGCTCTCAAACTGAGTTTCCGGACAAAGCTCCCGAACCCACGTGAAATCTGTCGGGACGCGGTGGCGGGAATTTTTGTGGCAGACTAGCGGAAACAGCAGTCAGTAAGCATTTTTTCAAGGGGGTGCAAGTGAATAAAGCTTACTGGCAAGGTACCCAGCGGTTCAGTAAGTTTACTGTTAGCTTTCTGGACGCGAGGATCCAACTCAAAGGAGGTGATGGAGTAATCCATGCATTCGATGAAGCTGCTCTCATGTATGCCTTCTTCGCGGTGGGGGATATCAGCGGTAATCATGAGGCGGAGCACTTTGGAGTCGAGCTTGGGTTCTTCTGAGTTTGGCTGCTCCAGCAAGCTCCCAGATTGCAAGTCCGTACAGGATGCCATTGAATCAAGCCAATTGTGATAATGATCAGTGGAAAAACGAGAACTGTGAAGACGTGAAGCGCTAGTTGGATGTGGTGAAGGAGACGTTGCGACTAGTGTAAATGTTGTCAAAGAAGATGATTAGAGGTGTGTAGCTTTCGCAGTGTGAATGCGCTTTGTGTTCTCGCAGGATAGCTTTTGTGATGGATAGTCTTCAACCGAGGTAGTACGGAGGGTGGCTAGAAATCTGAAGGAGGACTCGGGTAATAGACTGATGGGAAGAAAAAGGACCGGTAGAGGCCCGAGTCACTGGATTATCAATTGGGTCTCGAACCAGGTATGTCGGAGATGCCTGAGAGCTTTTAAGGCACAAGAAGGCCTGTTCCTAACCAAGTAGAAAAAAAAAGGAGGCGGCAGACCTCCAATCAGTAAATATGTATGCAGAGTGAAGCTGCCGGATGATCAAGTTCAGATAACCAGAGGACTTACTAGGTTAGTTAATTTTGGGGATAATCCAGCTGGGAAATGTATGAGAACGGATAGACTTTAAAGAATGTAACGACAGTGACACTTGGAATTAACGCAGGGATCGATTGTTGCCTTCTGTTGAACAGCGCCGAGAAAGACTGTGCATGAGTTCGAAGAGGAGCCAATACGAGATTAATCGTGGGGGAAGATGGATTGTCGAGGCTATGGTTCTCAACAGTCAAACTACAAATTTCTTTACATACAGGAGCCAAGTTAGTTTCCGATCAGAAGGGTGAAGCTCGAGATTTGAGATTGAAGCAGGAACATGACGAGTTACCTCAAGTCCCAAGAAGGGAGCGCCCGGAGATAAATGGACAGAGTGATGATCCTTGGATAGAAAAACTTTGGGCTCTGAGGTTGTTATAGCTGCAATGTCAAGTTTGAGGGTTTTGCAAGCCAGCGAGGAGAATCAGACCAGAGACCGGCTCGGATCGGTCACGAGGATCTGTGACTGTACTATGTGACGGTAGAAATATGGTCTTATGCCCGGTAATGCATTTATAACATTTATTTAGATCGTTTGACTTTTTTTGAATGGGCCTGTTCGCGATGAGGGGTGGGTCTAAACTCGGAGCTTTAAATCTGCTGCCTGCATGCCCTAAGGTGTTCCGAAATGAAGTGGGAGGGGAGCGTCAAGAGACAGACTTGAAGATTTGCAGACTGCAACGGGACATCATGACCAGCTGGTGTCTGAGTCCACAGATGGAAAACCACGGACCTAAAATTTCCCCTCAAGTATTCGATCGTTACTGAGAGCAAGTGTGGATGTTCGTAGCTATGGGAGGCTGAGGACGAGGTGGGCGAACAAAATTGGTACAGACAAATGAAGACGTTGAGGCTCAAGCTGATCAAGCGGCCGAGTAGAGTAGCAGACAGAAGGAAACAAGCGGTTATTGAGCTCCGAGGTAGCTCTTAGTGAGATAGAATGAGATGTCGATAATGGAGGTCAGAAGTCAGAAGGAGCACAAGGCTTGATTATGTCTGCACTGTGACTGCATCCGGGGGGGTACAAGGTGGACGTAAAGGTACCAACTACCAACTGAGCATCAGGATATGGGCTGATATGAGTTGCAAGGGTGGTGAGTTGATCAGAGATTCTCCTGGAGAGGCCTGGGGCTGTTGTACTATGTTTCTCATCATCTTGCCGGCGGGTGGGTGACTGTCTGAGACAATGGCACTATTTGGCCGGGTCGCATGACTTGAGCGAACATCGACATCACAGTCACTGGTTCCGTTGGTGTGAGTGAGGAGCTGTGAAGAGGTCTCTGAAGTTGGACGGAATCAAGTAGAAAACGCTGGAGAACCAACTTTTCGAATCCTCCTCAACCGGCCCTTCAAATCATCATCATCAAGACAAGAATTACATAGAGTCATTCAGATAACCAGTACATGAATGTATTTATTCAAAGTAGAACTCCATTCGAAGCAAAACAAATATCCAACCATCACCTGACTTATAGTATACGACCTTACATCATGGTCAGTCAGGCGATTAACTCTTGCTACGATCGAGGGCTATTAAGCGTTTCGCCACTGCAGCGGGCACAAACTCACGCATGCACCCAACTTCAATGGTTTTGTTGCTTCCATTGATGAGAATGATATGGCACCCGACGCGTAACGGACCACGACCATTTAATCAGAGTGATATGGGTAAGACACAGTTAATTGCGGCTTGCTTACAACTTGCGGGGGTCCGGTCCTCCCTCACTCGAAAGTCAAGGTTCAACCAGCTGAGAGAGATTCCGTCGGTGACCCTTATAAATGTGGGCCTTTGATCGACTTTGGCAGCTTGAAATTTATAGGCGATGACCAAAATTGTACATAGTTAATTAGCCTCAGGAGACAGCGAAGAAACTTTTTTTCATTCAGAACAGGAGGCCGATGCAAGTCAGTCAAAAACCCAAGCCCAGTGGCACTATTGATCAGACTAGAGTAATGATCAACTGGGTATATATATGCACCTTAACATACATAACTTCTGACTTTGAATTATTTATTGATCGAGCTCAATCGCTTCTCTGATCAGCTTGTGGGTCAACTGTGAAGGGTTTAAGAGGGCTCTTCACGTCGGTGAGGTCTTCTTGACAAAGCCATGTCGTCCTACATTCAGAAACATGAACAAACGTCACTTTCGTCCACATGGATTATCTATCACTAACGACAGTACCATCTCTGATCTAACAGCTCCGATCTCAGTATGAGTGCATCCGCTCGGGCTTTCTCGTAATTAGAGCGATGAGAACCAGTTGAGTATTCCCAGTAAGACACATCAGCCCACTGCCAATCCAATGCTTCTAAAGTTGGGATTGATTGGAGCATCAACCGAGTTACCTGCTAAACATCGTCAAGGGTCTAGATGTTTATTGTGAGATTTATATACATAAATGTATATGAGGCATCTGATCAACAAATCGATTATCCTCCGTGCATTCTTAATTTCTTCATGAAAGCTCCAAGACGGCGCTCTGGGAGGAAGGTGTTCTGCAAGTTATCAGCTGAACCAGTATACAGATTATTTGGAGTGAGGTAATTACTGGCACTAATACTATTGAGATAGCGCAATCAGTAATACTGTGCCCGCAGAGGTTAGAGAGGAATGAATTATCAGCCATGCCAGAAGCAGCTTGCTGGAGGTTGAATCCAGAATCACATAGCCCGTCAAAGGAGAGGAGAGCCGATGAACTGAGGGGGGTTTTATTGGCCTGTCAGGGTTTTCGGATTTGACAGGGAAATAGTTGATTTTGACAAGAAGTGTGAAAGAAATGGGCCAACTTTGACCAAGAGTATGGGGATTGAGGCCCTGGGTTGCCTAATGCTCATCCGCACTGATCTGATTCTTGGTGATCTCCTCAGATCTCCTTCCTCAAGAATTAGCAATCAAAATTTGACCATATTCATGTCACTGCCTATCAGAAAAAGTCATATTTTCATGTTAGTTGCATATCCAGATGGTTTCAACAAAGCCAGGCTATGCTAACTTTTTGCCAAGTGTGGATAACTTTAATGTTATACCTTAGTAGGCAAGACAATGATTTGTGATTTTTTTTTCAATATGAGCAACATTGATTGTGCTCAAGTTCATCATATGTGTGTGGTGATTATTGCTTCCCTTGTAAGCCAGTTTAAAGGAGCACTAGAGTGGGGATGGAGCCCACTTTTGGGAGTTGAACTCTCTGAGACAAAAGAAAACACATGTGAGAAATATTAATTGATAGGGGGGGGGGTTCTCATTGTATGTAGCTCAAGTTGCAGTTTGACAAGAGAGAAAGAGATCATGAGGGCCCATTGCATGCAGGAATATTGGTTATAAATGCTTGTTTTACATGATAGAAAACTATAATGTGCTAGATTCATGCCCCCCCCCCCCCCCTGGTGGGAAGGTTGGTGGCGCAAAGCACTGGCTGGTGGCAAAGCCACCCCTCCCACAGGGAGGGACTTACAGCCACAGCCCCCCTGCTTGCCTGAGGGGATCTGAAAAATGTCAGAATTTGAGCCCCTCCAGTTGTTCACTCACTCTCTATCTTTCATGTTTCCTGTTCCTGTCCTGTTATATATCTTGCCCTGTATGACCAAGTGGTCTATCCTGTTTTGACCAAGTGATCTATCCTGTCTGACCAAGTGGTCTCTCCTGTCATTGTCATGTTTCTTTTCCAAACCCCGTCCTGTCTCATTAGTCTAGGCCCCCTTTGGATCTTACTAAGGGGGCTCTCTAGTTGTTGCCATCTAAGCCTGCTCTGCCCATTTGTAATTCATCATCAATTCAGAGCTTGCTTTCACACATGAGCACCCCAGTTGAATTCTCAGCAATGAGTGAGAAAACAAATCCTTCCAGCTCCTCTTTCAAAACTCCTCCCTCAAATCTTCCTATCTCGCCTTCTGAATCTTCCAACAATCAAAGCAAAAATTGATCCTTGAGTTACACAACCTGTATCTGGCTGATTTATTCGATTTGATTGATTTTTCAATATCCAGGTATTGAAAAATAAGGGATTGGATCACCCTAGCAATCCAATCCCATGGTATTGGATTGGGATCAGGATCACATTGCAATCCTGATCCAACACCCAAAAGCTGTGGGCTGCATGCCTCACCCTTTGGTATCATCCAAAGTGTAACCAATCCGATCCCCGGATTGGTATTTATTGGGGATCAGATCAAAAATGGAAATAATACCAGGTATTAGTATTGGATTGCTCCACCCAATCCCAGTTGTCCAATAAATTGGGATTGGATTGGAGATCAATCCAATCCCGATACTAGGCATTGGGTCCATTTTTGATCTGATCCCCAATAAATACCAATCCGGGGATTGGATTGGTTTCATCATTGGCTACACAGGCTAAGATGGAGGAAACTGATTCCAATTCAAATTTTTGTTTAGAATTAATGATTGGCTAGAAATTGTAGGTTGTGAGCTCTAAAAATCAACAGAGTCAAGCAGATCCTACCCTTCAGTAGCTGGGCCCGGCTGTGTTGAAACTACAGTCTGTAAAAATCATTTGCTGGCAAAATTGAATCTCAATTATGGTATTCAAAGTAGAATATGTAAACATTTATGCATGTATATTTCATAAATAATCAAACATTTTTGGCTGCAAAATCTCCAGATTACATTTTCAGATTGTCAAGTCTGTCTGCCAACAAGATTTGATCATTTGTGAAAACACCATATAAATTCAATTTTGTCAACAGGTTTTCTTTATGCATGCATAATTTAAACATTCATGAAATTATGCAGCTCAGCTTTGGATACCACTATTACAGTAAAAATATTTACACTGTAACATAAATCCAGAAAAATAAATCCATGATCCAACTTTGCCTTTTAAATGAAATTTGACATGAATTATGCTGCAAGCATTTTGGTGAAAAAGGGGATTTTGATTTTATGTCTGTAAATTCATGGTTTAACTTTGAATACCACTATCATGACCAATTTGAGTTATGTTAACAAAAATACCCCACATGACCCACACATAACAGCTGTAACTCACTAATAGCCGCATACATCCCTGGTAACTATGGCTGCTATTTATGCCTTGCAGAAATTTTACCCTTCCCAAATGTTTTTTGACCCTATTGTGGAGAGAAGGAAGATTAGGGTCTTGAACATTGTCACAATTAGAGTAGTAGTGTGCAATAGTAACTGGTATTCAGGTGAAGCCAAAAATGATTATATATGTATCACAGGGGAAATTACACAAGTGTTATTTGGCCACTTTGCTGAGAACCCTGATTACTGGTGTGCTAAAATTTTGGAATAAAATGTGGACCATAAATCTCATCTGAAACTAGGGTATTATTTGTATAGGGTCTTAGTTAAACGACTCCCAAATATTGGAGTTCCAACTCCCAAATATTTGGTACGTTGCCAAGACCCCCTGGGGACGGTCCGCAGGCCGTCCATCCCCGGAGATGGGAGTCGGACCTCCCAAACCTTCAACAGGTTTGGGAGTCGATCCTCCCAAGAAAAAATAAAAATAAAAAGATAAAAAAATGAAAAACCCCAGGGGTTTTTGGGAGTTTCTTCAAAACCCCCCCGGGAGGTTGGGAGTTGGCGCTGGACTCGACTCTCAGCGGCGGAGAGGAATCCCTCTCCGCCATTGAGAGTGTATACTCTCACCGGCCAAGAGGAATCCCTCTCGGGTCAATGAGACTGTACACTCTCATTGACCAAGAGGGATTCCTCTTGGCCACTGAGAGTAAAGTTGCGGATGGCAAAAACAAACCCTGGATTTTGAGGGTGTCCGAAATTTGGAGCAAAAAAAACAGTTTTTTTTGTATTTACAGGGTTTTTTTAGCCCTTTTGAGCCTAATAACTTTGAAAAATCACCTCAGAGTGTTGCATAACCACTCGAAATAGGTGCTACAGGTGCTTTAAGGGGCATAAGGCCATGAATAAGCCTAACTTAAACCCATAGTTATGGGTTTAAGTGTGGCTTTTGGTAGGCATGTCCGAATACATGCTTGTCATACAAATAAAAAAAAAGAACCGCTTGAGTAGAACCTTAGCGGTTACAATTTTGAACCCTACACATCTGTAGGAGTTCAAAAATGTAATAAAAATTAGTATTTAGGCATATGCCCCCCGGGGCATAGGTCCCGTGTGCAAATTGTAGTTTTTGTGGTGTGGTCATTATTCCTGTGTATGAAGGGAGAAAAATTCAAAATTTTATTATTTATCAATTAAGGACTCAAGATATAGACAAATGGACATCAGAGATGGAATCTATGGCCAATTTAACCCCTAGTCACTGGAGGACTTCCCGTCGCTTCTGCGGGCCCCGCAGAAAAAAATTTGCACATCAAAACTCTAAATTTCTAAATACATCCTTCCGTCAGTCGCATTTTGTAAAATTACATCACAGCTGTCTAACCAGGTTTCCCCCAACCTGACCGAGCGATATCACCCAATCAAATCACACATATCTCCAACCAAAATCATCGACTTCACCCACCACCCTCCCTCACATTCTACAAACACCAACGAACGATTCCCAATCTTCTGCTCCTACCGTCTCACCCGAGACACCTGAAATGACGCTCCGCGAATTCCTGTGGCCCAAAAAAGACAACTACGCCCAGCGAGTTGGAGCTGGTGCACCTGGTTAGTCGACCTTGAATGTTCATCCAAAAAACCCCTCGATCTTGCTAACCCACTCCTTTGCTTGCAGTCTACCTCGCCGCCGTTCTGGAATACCTGGCTGCTGAAATCCTTGAATTGGCCGGAAACGCTGCTTGGGATAACAAGAAATCTCGAATCATCCCCCGTCATCTACAACTTGCCTGCCGCCGGAGCTGCTCCAACATACCCCCGTCGCAGTGCTTGCTCAGGATAAATCGCTCCCCTGTGCCGTCGGCTTCTCCCAGAAATCGGCGGCAGATATTCGCTCCCAAAATAAGGGTGTCGGGGTCGATAACGTCCATTGGCTTGGCAACGATCTTTGGCTCATCGACGAGATTTAATCTCTTCTTCTCTCCCTTTTTTTTATGATGTGCTTTGCTTATATAACATGCTTTCCTCTTCTTTCTTTCATGTTGTGTATAGCTTACATAGACACAAAACTAAACAAAAATGCCAAGCAAAATTCGGATTTGTGGGAACATCTTCATTGAAAACACATGCATACAACTTGAAAGAGTTTTTTTTTATCCTAAAGATCATTGGTATGATGAATACACATGGAAAAACATGGATCTGAACTTCCCAGAAAAAAAAATAAACATTTTGAGGATGAAGAGGAATATATAGAGATACAACAAGGATGAGAAACCAGGCTATGTAGAGAGAAAGGGATGGAGTTAATGAGAATCGAGCCAAGCGCGAATCTGAGTGCTACTGATCTTGAGGTTCAGCTGATCGAGTTGGGCAAGAGTAAGCTGATTACTGACGGGGTCGATGACGTAAGTCGTGAGGGGCTTGAGGCCGTTCTGGGCGCGAATGGTGTCGATAGCCTTGGCGCCGGGCAGAGTTTCGAGGGAGACGAGGAGCCCATCGATTGTCGGGTCGGTTGCCGTGGGGTCATACACGTCCTGCAGCACCGGGGTCTCCATCCGAAGGTCGCTTGGGCCCACCCTTCCCACAAAGCCTCGCACGGCTTCTTGAGGCTCTTCGAGCGTCTCTAGTTGGCGCGCATGTTTCTTGTTCTTGAGCAGCTCATATCTGTGATTTCCATCCGATTTCGCAAGCATGGGTGTGTTAGTTTTGGCGGGACTCTTTCTTTGGCATATATATATGTATTAGGAAGAAAGAGGAGGATGGAGGATACGAGCGACTGGCCTGTGATCCCAACAATCAATCTATGAGTCGTGAACCAAGCCGCCATGGTGAGCAAGATCTTGTGACCGGAATGAAAATGATCGAAAGTGCCTCCGAGCGCGAGCGTGTTAAAGAGACCGTTCTCTGTCTCAAGGGTGGGGGAAGAGGGCGTGAAGAAGAAGGGGGAATGGGGGGGGGGGGCTAGTTGACTGAAGTGCTCGATGAGCACCTTGGCATCGATGAACAACCGGTCGAGGTGGTACATTTATCTTCGTTTCGTTTTCGTTTTTTTTTCTTCTTTGTCGTTTCTTTAATGCTCTTCCTTTCGTTGGCGACTGGTTCGTCAGCCAGTAGTATTGTTCGGGGAATTGGTGGCAGGGGCTTCAGTCATCTGTGTGGCAGGATGTGTGAGTTGGGTGATAGGTTGGGTGGGAGGTTGAGTGGATACTTGACCGGGACGCAAGTGAGACATGACGATGATTGTAATATAAATGAAAGTTGATCGGAAGGTATGAAGGCTCAGAGGAGTCGAAATTTAGAAAGACAATGGTACCCCTCGGGTAAATCAAGAGGGGTGATTTTTACAATTTTTGGCTCTAAATTGATATCTGCGGGGCCCGCAGAAGCGACGGGAAGTCCTCCACTCACTGGAACCACCTTCATATCTCTACTGGATCAGAAGTTACATGGAATCAAGGATGTCACACGGAGAATCACAGGATCAGAGGCACTCAGCTGGAGGGTATATTGCATGGGGGTATATTGCATATTGCATATTGAATTCCTTTATTCATATTGAATTCCTTTTATACTTACATAACCACAAGTTGGCCACCAGTTGTACCAGTTAAATTCCCATTTATTCAGCCACAGAACACATGAATTCCTTTCTTACAGCTTACATATAAAAGGGATGCGTTGTAGATAGTCTAGCCAAAATACCTCAGGATTTTCAAGGATAGGGCAGCTAAAATGCCTCATACAGGGGGTCCCTTGGGGCTAAAATCCCTCATAAATTACTATATAAGGAGGCCTCTGCCTGCCAGTTGTTTCCTCCTCATCCCACTCAGTACAAATTTTTGGTGGGACACCTGTCATAGATTACATATATTTATTACACAAGAAGTTAACGAGTAGTACAGTCCACAGATTGAAATATATACACAGTTCATTTCACAAACATTACACAGAAGAGCCAGTCCTTTGTTCCAGTCCTGGTTGAAGCATAGTGCTCCCAGACCCTTGTTCAAGAACCACCTCTATTACATTATACATATACAGCATCAAGGAAGAGCACGAGTATCAAGACATCAAGAAGAGAAACAACATCAACAACTCAATCAATTCTTTGGACAACAAGATCAACCTTCAACAATTATACAACCATCTTTGAACATAATCCATTATCACCAACCAAACTGCCAAGCTTACCTTGGTGGTCTTGTTTTCTGATAATATAGAAAGGCAGAGTTTGCAGCTCATTTATCCCTTTCTCCATTCAGCAAAAAGGATCTTACAATCACTTTTTGAGTCTTACAGTGGGTGGGGCACTGTCGGTCTTTGCCGTACGCAACTGTATACACTCTCAGCGGCCGGGAGAAATCCCTCTCGGCCGGTGAGAGTATACACTCTCAATGGCAGAGAGGGATTCCTCTCCGCCGCTGAGAGTCCGGCGCCAACTCGCCACCTCCCTGGGGGTTTTTGAAGATTGACTCCCAAAAACCCCCGGGTTTTTTTATTTTTTTTATCTTTTATCTTTTTTTTTTTTTGGGATGATCGACTCCCAAACCTGTTGAAGGTTTGGGAGGTCCGACTCCCATCTCTGGGGGTGGACGGCCTGCGGACCATCCGCAGGGGGTCTTAGTGACGTCCCAAATATTTGGGAGTCGCAACTCCAATATTTGGGAGTCAATTTGGGGGCATATACTAGTTTACAATAATCAAAAAGTAACCAAACAGGCTGGGAAAACCCCGGTTTAAAAGCAAAAAAGTGGGTGTTAGTAGAAGAAAAGGGTGGTACATTCATCAATTCCCCCACAAATAATTGGCTCAAAAGTGACTTCCATATGAGGCCCTGTTTAATAGAACCACAATTATATTTTGGAATTTCACATGAAATCTTCTTGCCTCTCTCAACAGCACATGTCACTACTTGGTCACCACCCATTTTGATTCATTTGATTCATTATTATGATGTTTTCTGCTTCCACAACTCAACCAATTATTGTATCAAGACTATTTAAATCCTGCCTTGCCAGAAATCAGTTAGGAATAATGGGGGGGGGTGCAACTATGAACAATAAAACTGTGTCTTCATTGGTCCTAAATGTGTCACAAAAAACATTACCCCCATCCATCCACTCACCTACAATCTCACCCACACCAATCACATCTGCATCTGCACCAAGTCCCACTTCACCAATACTTCTAATTGACCCATTAGAGCAGCATTTCTCCCTGCTTCTGCAGCAGGATTGGACACAAGAAACTCAGAGACCTTGCTAACTTATTAATGTTCCTTGCAATTGTAGGGCAAAATGACTTGTTGGAGGTACATATACAGTGAACAACTTTCTTGCATGTGCCTTTTTCATAATTTGATGAGAAAATCTTCCCCCACAGCCCCTCATGAAAGCTTCAAAATCAAAGTGTTGGAAGATCAGGCATTAGACACCCCTCATTCTGACACAAAGTTACTTTTACCCTTAAATCTCTTCATTCATAATGCAAGATTATCTACTTGATGCCTTATACTAAGGAGTCATCCCAAATGCTTGATCAACCCCATTTTTAATTACCACCAAATGTTTAATAAATGATTAAAAATTCCGAGATTGTGGATAAAAGAACAGAAAAATAATGATGGAGAAAGTTAGATGCTGTTAGTCTGAGTGTGTAAAATAGTAATGTTTCAGTGCATAAAAATATGATTAATGTGCAAAATTACTGAAGACTAGTGCTGGGGCTTCACTCGAGTGCATGCCATCATAACTCCGGCAAGCCATTGATAGGCCTGGCCATACACCTTGATGGCTTAGGACCCTGCAGCGCCTGGAGCTTGAAGGAAATATCCTTGCACGCTAGGGGGTCTCCGAGAGGCCTGCATCAGCTTCCGTTGAAGTGCCTTTCTGCTGTTGGATTTTCATTGATCAATCTTATCAAGCTGGAGCCTGCGTCCAATTGTTGTGCCCTAACTAGGTCACGAGTAGTGAGACTCATCTAGACCTATTCATTTCCATCTTTTCATGTATATATATAGTTATTACTACACATAGACATGAAAAGCATTCATTCATTCCGCGAACTCCGACTTGAGTTCTATCACCAATGACCCGTTGAGCTACCAAGCCCTGAACGTTGCTTGAGCCAACAGAGGCCAACAGCTGCTGCTTTTTGAGCCCTGCACTTGTTGAAAGAACTCATTTGCATGATGCTAGAAATCTATTTCAATTGCGAGCTTACCATTTTTAGTTTATCCATCTTATTTATCAATATTATCTTGTTTTAGTCTCTAGTTTTTCTTAAGTTCTGGTTAATGAAATTATTGCAATATCAACAGCCCTTGATCCTCAAAATACTGCAAACATCTAGATTACTTTGGAAGTAATGTTACTGGAATTTGCCGAAGTCCCTTTGACCCTGCTATCTGATATGTATGAATGCTTTGCGCATGACTTGGTCAATCTGGCCACTCAGCTTACCACAGCAGGTATGCTCACGGATTGTCTCTTCCCAACAATCAGGACACTGTCAATCATGCTAATGGTTGTCGGTACTCGCCTTCACAGTGAAAGCAGTCAATTAATACGTATTTTGTGTGTAGACAAATCGAAATGCTTTCTCGAACAAAGTTTTCAGGATGAGGTAGGAAAATGCTGATACTGAAATTTGCCTTATGTACATAGTCAGAAGAGGACAACTGCAAGCAATGATGAAGATTCGAGTTTGAGGGGGGTCAATAAACAATCCAAGTCCTTTGTGCACACATGCTTTCACAAAACACACTCCGATTTTCTGTTTACAACACATTTCCGTGTCCCTCTTGTCTTAAGGCCCATTGTACAGCTTCCTGTAAAGAATTCCTGTGTGTTAGAATGGGCCAATTTTTACAAAACAAAACATGGCACCGAGATAATATGTCCAAGAGAGCTTTGGGGGAGGGGGATAGGGAGTTCAAGGCAAGGTATCGTGGCCGCAAAAACTCACCAAAACATCACTCTGGACGGATGTGGGTACATGCGCAGCATCTTCTGGTTTGTCTCCTTTAAAGACCCCTGTTTTTACCAAGATCGAAGACTAGTTTGTAGTATAGATATGAGCATAAAAAATATTTGTCACTTGAAGGAAAAAAACAAAAACTCACCCAACCGTAATTATTGGCACCTTGGATATCAGAAGCAGGGTCTTCATCAAGGAATCACGTCGTCAAAATTTATCACTATATCCTTAATCTATAGTTAATCCAGACTTACTGTCACCGATCATGTAGACTGGCCCCAAACTTTGGCCATTAAATTTATCATGTAAAATCTTTTTCAGTAGTTGGTTTGCGAAATCGTAGGTCACGCGGGTCGGTTTGCCACCTGTCCAGGCTTCCAATGGGTGACCTGATAATCGTTGATAGTTAGCACCCAGGGCGGTCTACGCAGAATGTCAGATAACCAGTATTCCCCCCCCCCCCCCCAAAAAAAAAACAGCAGCTACAAGTTACCTGAAATGCTCCTTGCCCAAATCGAGGCCTCGAGAATTCATTTCCCCATAAGAAATCTGGGTTTGAGAAATAAATCGGAATGTGATTGGTCTGTCTGTTGGTAGTGGAGTCGATTGGGTCGGTGATGATCCCATCTTTTGAAGTTAAAACATCGATCGCCATTTGGATGTCAAACCCCCAATCAAAACTGTCGTGCATGACCTGTACTAAGTAAGAACTTGAGCAAGTATAGCGGAAACATCAAGTTAAATCGGAAGGGAAACTTACAAAGATCGCGCTGAACGAAATCTTGGAAAAGTCGACTGTCTTGTATAGGAAAACGAAAACTATGTTGAGAACATCACGCGAGATATCAAATATCCAAAGGTGCATTTTTTCGTTCCAGAGGGATGACTGACTTTAGCGATTCGCGTGTCTTCGTCGGAGAGTTTGTAGAATGGCCAAATGGATGGGTTCCACTTCAAGATATCTTGCGGGATGTAAACCTGTCGAAAACCATAACTTAGACCCACAAGAGAAAGTCAAGCGGATTTTGGTCAGTTGAAATAAGGACAAGTAAGCTTTCAAATGTATGCAAAACAGAAAATCAGAGGATGGTTCCTAACCCTTCAGCTACCAATCGGCACTTTTCACTACGACCACCGATGACCAAGATTGGTTTGTCGGAATACGAGTTTAAGAATTGGTTGAATATGGTGTGCGATTGAACCAATTGGCTGGGAGTAATCTAGCAGGAGAATACATGAATCAAATTTATGAGATTAACATTTTTTGGGTAGAAGGGACAGTCAACGGCTAGTTATCCTATAGCGTGAACTTACAGGAACTCCGAGTTCTTGAGACAATTTTTTACTTCTTTCGAGTTCAGGAATTCCGCCACCGTTAGTACATAGGATGAAAGGGAAGCTGTAGAAAGATGTAGACGCAGAAGATGTTGATTAGCCTTTATTTTAGATTATGAGGGAAAAGGGATTTGAAGAGGCTTGACCTTTTTTGGGAAGGATTATGACCATTCAAGATAGCTAAGGCTTTCTTAGCTTGTGGAAGGACGTGGGTGCCCTGCTTGAGTACGCCATCGATGTCAAAACAGAAAGCGGGAGGGGAGCTAGATCTAGTTGAGTAGGAGTTATGGGTGGTTGAGATTCTCGGGTTCCATCGACCGATCGAGAGCGTGGATGATTGAAGCGGAGACTGGGTGAGTCGGATCCTAAGCACTCGATACATCTTTCGGAGTTTCCTCTGTTGTGTTTACTGCTGGGATAATTGGTTGGTTTCGAGTGAGGTGGTCAAGTGAAGCAAGTCGATCAGCGCAAGTTTGACAGTGTGGTACCACAACGCACAGACCACCATCCAAGAAGCCAAGTCGACCTCAGTCCTTTGCTCGTCGTGCTTGACAGACTAAATGAAGAAGTTTGTACAAGTTGGAATATTCCTGAACGGCCATACCTAATTTGCATCTATAAAAAATGCTATGAATGATATTCATGTCTCTGCTACCACACTGGCACATACATAGATGCAAGCCAGAGGTACGAATTGCATCTTCTTGAGTTCAACACAGCAAGTTTGCAAGGACTTGTCGCATTACATTACATATTTACATCTATGATCTATCAATAACCAGATTCGGAATTTGGTGTGAACAGTAAGAGAGCGACTAGCACTGACAAACTGATAAAAATACACAGAATTGATGATAAATTAGATCAAGTTTAAGCTGAATCCAACTGAAGAGATGGTTGATCGTATTTATTACAAGTCCTTCCAGCAGCCTGGGATCAGAATTTCCGGCTAACTGAACATGGGCGAATTCGATGACCTTGACTTGACCGATGCCCTGGATGGTATGATCTTCACGATCAGAGTGAGATGAGGTCGAGGGTATAATCTCTGGGGTAATCAGATCAGCCTCGAACACGATCGATAGACGAACACCATAGATTCGCTAGTTGAATGGCCAGGCATAGCTGAGATTTCTTTTGTATTTTGGGGGATGATTGATCGGCCGATCGATGATCTGTTTGTGTTGCTTGGGTGGTACTAGACCTCCTGCCGAATACATATGACCCGCCCTTTGAATTCCTATCAGTTTCCTGGCTCAACCTCGAATTCGAGATTGGGAAGAGTGGGTTGAAGCCTGTTCGGTCGATAGCTTTGCAAACGATTTTCGAATACCTCCTGAATAAACATCCCTTGGCTAGATGTAATTATTGAGAGTAGGCAGAGCGATGAGAATCATAATTTGTTACAGATAAAAATGATCTAGAAAACAAGACATATGATATCCGTCAATGTCATTGCTACTACATCTGATGATGATAATTGACAGAATACTACACAGTTTTATTACTCCAAGTACCAGCGAATTCTACCCTCCCAGTCGCACCGTGCATTCAAATTTCAAGAGTCGATGTTTCAATTTTTTTGACCAGAGAACGGTAAAATTTCAACTCGTTCCTCATCGTCTTCTTGATGATTCATTGTAGGGATTGAATATTTTTCGGGCATGATGATTATCATCTCTTCGTCTCGTGCTTGAAGCCATCTGTGCCCGGTAGGTCGAAGTGTGACATGGTTTTGGTGAGATTGAATGAACAATGATCAGGGCGGGTCCGAAGCATCGGAGAGGGGAAAGCCGGTGGGAATAGGATGGGCCGGTGTGGATCCAGGGGAGTCGAGCCGTGTCCGTCGGCACCACCACCGTCCCGGTTCTGAAGTCTGACTCGGTGGGCATGCATATGTCACCAAAGCCACATGTCACATGAGAATCAACCTATATACACACATATCACATTCACCGCAAAGAATGGAACATGGGCAAGTGCCTGCTGTTGACACTGAAGAAATAATTAAATACTATTTAACTGAAGATTTAAATCAAGAGTGTACTTTATCGCTCAGAGCTAACCAGGATTGAGACAAATAAAGACACATACCATAATATTGGTTGTTTCCAACAGACCCAAGTTCCAGTTTATGGACATCTTGCAGCAACTACATAAATAGTTGTCACTGGATCTCAGCTGCGTCTTGGCCATGGCTAGAAATAAACTCTCACAAAGACATCTACTGATTTCACCAAGATCATTGAAAAACTGAATCTACTTAAACAAAAAATAAACCAATGGGAACTTTGATCAGGTAAATTGGGGCACCAAGCTGTATTTTGCAGGCATCTATGAGGCATGACGCTTGACCTGAACCTGAAGGGCAACTACTAAAACAAAATAAATATCTGGTAGGATGATAAAGATTGGTCAATTATAAACCTTTGTTTACAAGGTTATAGCCAGGAACTACATGGACAGCAGAAGCTATGCTCATTTACATGTCAAGACCAAACTTGATCTCATTGGTATCCTCAATATGAAGCGTCACGTTCAAATGAGTTGCTCACATTGGCAATGAGCGGGGGAAACTTAATGCAAACAGCCAGATAGTCATTGGGGGTTCTGATCAGTTCACTTTGTATTCAAGCGCCTATCAAGTTCACATCATCAAGAAGGAGTGCAGGATATAATTTACACATCTACTTCGGCTGGGAGAGAGGGGGCGTACAAAATGTGTGGCTTGAGGAGATTACCTGATTCCTATCAGAGGAGTGATCTCGAGTGATGATGTTCAGTCAGGCGTTCTGATATTGAGGGTTCAAGTTAGATCGGAGGGAAGTTGTTGAGAGAGTTGATGGAAGAGATCCAAGGTGGATTGGATGCCTTTTAGGAGTCCTTGATCAGGACTATCAGCCAGTTCAACATGTGCGAAATCGATGACCTTAACGGAAGCCAGGTGATAATGATCTGGCTGAGTAGTAGTTGTAGTTGTAGTAGTAGTAGATGAGGCGAGAATGGTTTGGAGAGTGGTGAGGTCGGCTTCGAAGACGATCAATAGACTGGCACCATAGATTCTCCAGTTGAAGGATGAGAGATAGGCTTGGATGGTTTGAATCTTTGGGATGATCGATCGATCGATGATTATCTTGAGTAGGTTGGATGGTAATCCCTGAGTGGAATATGTTAGATGATGATGATGATGATCATCTTCATCCTGTTTCTTGTGGTTTGAGATTGGAAAGAGACTGTTGAAGTTGGTCTGTAGGTCTGATCCATCCGGTTTGATCGATTTCCCGAATGATTTTGGGACACTCGAATACTCTCCGTTGAGGTTACTCCAGAGCTATGAGATGAGAGTCAAGGATTAGTGTGATATCAAGGGCGTTGTTAAAAGAGACACACCCACCTGAGCACCCGTCAAACGAATGCCGAATTTGGCAGAGGTTGTCTCGAGTGCGGCCCTGTTCATGCGTTCCTGTTTCTCTGGTGTGGCTCGATCATCGTATAATCTCTGTCCTAACTTGATATCGATTACGTTTGGATGGATGAATAGCTGAGCCGGTTCGGATCTTTTATAGGTTAAGTTTTCGAGTAGGATGAATACGTGTTCGTCCTGCTGCTGCTGCTTGGCTGTTGTTTGCGTTTGCTGGTGGTGATGATGATGGTTAGTTGTGCCGAAGAATTGAGGTCTCCAATCTTCTGGTTTGAGATGGTGGTGGTGTTCTAGTTGGTTGACTAGGTTTTGGTAGAACTCCAGTTCGTTGTGATTGGTCTTCTTGATGATCTTGTCTGGCTGGGTTGAGTTGATGGAGACTTGATCCTGATGACCACCCGCCTGTGGAATAGTGGTTGGCATGATTCTTTACTTTTAATAAGTTGGTTTTTGGTCGATTGTCTCCTTCCGACATTTCTTCTTCTTCTTGACCATCAACCACACCTTTCTTTCTCTCTCTCTCGCCCACCATGCCATCCTCATCCTCATCCACTTCTACTCAACCGTCATTCATAACAGCACCTCGTCAGTTACTCAGCTCACTAGCACCCCAACTCATGTCAAACCGAATCCTAACCAACTCAAACTCAACCTTCTCCACTTCCTCACTCATCAACCGAACAACAACAACAACAACAACAACCAACAACAACAGCAAACCAACAACACCACCAATCGACCTCACCAAACTACTCAGATTACTCCTACCACCAGCACTCGGCGGTCGGGCTGGAGGACTACAGCTCAACGACCTCCTCATCACCGACCCAAGCCAAATCAACCAACTACTCGCACTCGAACTCCCTCCACCTCCATCTCAAGCTCACCAATCATCATCACCATCGCCACCATCACCAGCAGATCTCTCACTCATCGATGGATTCCAGGCAACACTCCCCTCATCCCTCCAATCAAAACTCAACAGGCGCAGGAGAAGAGCCGAAATCGGTCATCGGATACTCGGCCTCGATCATCCCGATCACCCTAACCCAATCTCACTCCATCTCAAGGACAAACTGGATGCCGAGAGGGGACTGATCCAACTGGAAAACAAGGGCCATCGGAGGAAATCCTCAACCGGCTATGCCGATCGTCCTCAAAATCCAAACAAAAGACCCACGCGACGGCGGAAGACGGACCATACGATGATCGGTCTCTCCAAAGCACAACCACAACCACAACCACTACCATCATCATCATCATCACCTCAGAATCTAATCGAAATCAAAGAGATGATACCCGAACTCAAGCTCGAATTAGATCAGATCGTTCAAGATCGTGAAAACTTACAGATCCGTAAGGAACTGATCTCCAAGGACCTAAATGAGATCGACCTCAAGATAATCAAGCTGAACCAGCTCAAAGAAGATCTCGAGAGATCCATGTTGAGCCTAAGAGAGGAAGAACTAGAGCTCATCGATGAATACGAAGGCGTTAACGATCGACTGATCGAATTGCAGCAATCCTTACCACTACCACTACCACTACCAGCACAGCCCAACCATGGACTCACTCTACCCACATCAACTCGCGACCCTAGGATCTCCCCAACTAACTCTCGAAGAAGACGCGGCCCAGCCTTCTTACCCTCCGAACACGACGAATTACCCAAGAATGTCTCGTTTATGACCCTCAGAGCTCACTCTCAAGCCATCCTCGCACTCGACTTCTCCAGCCCATACGGTTATCTCGTCAGCTCATCACTCGACGAATCACTCCAACTTTGGGATCTTGCAACGGGTGAACCAATCCGAAGCTTGAATGGACACAATGGGATCGTCAAGTGCTTGCAGGTTGAGGAGATGACCTGCATCACGGGTGGGATAGACGGCCAGATACGGATCTGGGACCTGGATCGGGCACTCGAGATGGATTCGAGATTGGAAGCAACCTTGACCCAAGAAGAACGAATCCTAAGAAACGACACGGCTGGTGTGAGTCCGACAGATGATAGCCAACACGATACCTCAAGAACGGACCCATGCGTGATGAAACTAGAAGGGCATAGCCGGTCGGTCACCGCTCTGTATTTTGATGATACATGCCTCGTCAGTCTCATCTTTCTTCCTTTTTCTGCTTCTTCCCTATCCCTTCCACCTCGTGGTAACTGTTCTCTGGAAATTTTGACTGAATGTTTCTCAAGGATGGGCTTTTTTTTTATACATCTAGGTCACCGGCTCATCCGACAAAACAATCCGACAGTGGGATCTTAATACTGGGCAAGCGGTGATGACAATGGACATCCTCTGGGCTATGCAAAACCCACCCCTTCCTACGACCAAGCTGTCCTCTGGGCGTCAGTTTAGGAATCCGAGTTCGACTATCAGTGATTTCGAGTTTGGCCCGAGCAGCCATGTGCCCTCTGTGAGTAGTTGGAGTGATAGATCAGGCCGGCCAACTCTATCAAGTAACTACGTGCCTGGTGATGATTCTGTGGAAGAGTCTAAATTGATCGATACCGTCAATCAATTCGATACGCTATCGCTTGGACATGAGGATTACATTGGTGGAATCCAGTTCTGGGGATACGCCTTGGCTAGTGGAAGTGGCGATGGCTGCGTACGAATGTGGGACAGTAGGTTAAACAATTCACTTTACCATCTCTCTGTGTTCAAAAGCTAAGCCTTTCTGTTATCGCAGTGCGAACTGGTCAAGCCCATCGAACGTTGGTTGGTCACACCGGTCCGATCACTTGCTTACAATTTGACGAGATCCATCTGGTCAGCGGAAGCACAGACAAGTCCATCAAGGTGCGTGCGGCATTGATTACAAAGATCGGTGGCCTTCCGGAATGCATTTCTAAGCTAAGCATGTCTCCTTCCTTCTTAGATCTGGGATCTTCGGACAGGAGCGGTGACGGAGACGATCAAGTACAGCCATCCGATCACCGCTCTACAGTTTGATAGCCGAAAGATCATGTGTGCAGCTGGTGATACGAGTATCAATGTAAGTCAAGTCTTACTAATTCAACTCAGCTCAATCAATTCACGGTTGAGCTCATCTTGCTCTTGTCTGACCTTCAAACAGGTTTATAATCGGACCACATTGCAAAGATCTACCATCAGCCTCAATGGCCATACAGATACTGTCGAACGCCTTCGTTACTTTGATCGATACATGGTCACCGGCTCAAAAGATAACACGATCAAGGCTTGGTCAATTTAAACAAGGATATGCTAGCTGTCATCGAAGTCTGACTTCACTTGGAGAAAGGAAATAGAGTCAGAATTCAAGCTGGATGATACAAAAGCAGTTAAGCATCAGAAGGCAGCCGTTTGATTGCCAAAAAAAAAGAAGATTTGATTCAGCCCATGTGACAGAACAGCTCAATTATTCCGATACGGCTGCATGTTGGAAAGATGGATTGAGCTCTCTCTCTATGGACCCGCTTTACTGTCTACGGGCAACCCAAGTCACGAACGATCGACGGAGGCAATTGAAAGAATAAAGTAGCTACTCATTTGTGGAACTAAGTTGATGATCAACATACATATTTCTATACAAAGCATCTGTCACTCAATCAACACCTGTTAATACATTTTTCCTGCTTTTTCGACAATAATAGATATATATTAATTCAATCGATAGACTGATATATCCTAGATTCTGATCACATCAAACGCATCCTCATCCCTACCAACTGCGTAATCATGCCTATGTAGTTGTTTCGAGAGCTCCAATACAGACGGAGTGTAGTGAAGGTTGCAACTTGCAGCCAGACCCTGATCCATTGGATATATTGTGCATACATCGGTAGAGTCCTCAGTGACAGAGCTGATTATCATGAGTGAGGTCTTAGCTCAAATCAATTTGGCTGAATAGGCATGTACACCATTGATTCTGCCTGGTTTCAACTCCGCCATCCTGACATGAGTTACTTTTTGAATTCCGTTGCCCCACTCGGCGTGACTCGTCATATGGCAAGTTCAACTGGATGGTGTGAGTTTGTTTTTCACTACAATTAAGTTTCCAGATGACGAAATTCATTCTCAAATACTCAATTTTAAACTTTCTGCGGGGCCGGCTTTTGTTTCCGAAAAATGTTTTTTTTTTTTCTCGGTTACTGTTTCATTTTTCTCCTATGATTTTTAATTTTCTGGTTGATAATCTGGTCTGCTTGGCTTTATAAGTGAGTCGTTTGAAGTTAGTTCATTCTTATTTATCCTCCCCCCCACCACAGATTATCACCCCTCGACCGGCCAGGAGCGGTCCATGTGGAATGTTTACGTATCACGCGATCCATGCTTTGCTTTATGTACCCAGCCGTATTTATTTGGGAAAGGGCGTGTCCAATCAGCTGCTCAGGATTGGTATGTATGTGCCCGAGACTCACAAGACTGGCAGGCTTGATCAGACGGTCGAGACTGGCAAGGATCAAGTGGCTTCTAATAGTAAACCACTGGTTTTAAAGTTTAGAGTAAATTGCTTCAAGATACATATTGATTTATTTGTTCAAATGGCCTGGCAGCTTTCCCTACGAATAAACAAAGAAATAAATAAACAATAATAATCGACAGCTGGTTGGCCACTGACTGAAGATTCCTCCTTCACGGTCTTCATCATATTTATGTTCACAAGAACCTCCATCCAGCTCGTCACTCTTACCTCATTGATGTGTCGATGCACCAACCCATGGATCATGACCATGCCCCAACCCTGGGTAAAGTAAGTAAATCGATGATAGGGACATTGCAATTCACCCCACAGACAATCAAGCTTCTGCTACCTACATCCAACACCCATATGGCTCTTTCCCACCAGAGGGAAGCCGCACGGCGATAACAAAGATTCATGTACTGATTGCTTGTTCAACTTCCAGCCGAACCTCAGCCAGTTCCGGATTCAGTTGATGGCCGAAACCGCTAACATCAAACGCAGCTGTATCGCCCGGAGTCCTTGCGAGCGTGGTAATACCGGCGCCACTCCGGATCCGAATCCGAGCCGGACCAGGGGCAGGAGCACGACGACGAGGAGCGAGCTGAATAGTAATAGATCCACCGCCCAGAAGCAATCAGGGGCGTACCAGCCGATAGGAAGGATCAGGAAAGAGAAGAAGGATGTCGATTCGGATGGAGTACTGGATGGCCGCCTACTACTAACCGAGCCGAACGACCCAAGCGAGATCGAGGATGGCCACACGCTGCGAATCAACGCGGCCGTCGATGAGAATCTCAACCAGCGACTGGCTGAGTTCGATCAGAAGAAGAACCAGAACGATCAGCCTCAGCACTCAATCGATTCCTCATCAACCTCATCAGCCTTCAAGCCATCCCTACTCTCAACCACAACCACCTCTCAGTACCCTCCGGATCATCCCCACGAAGACCTGCTTACCATCGCATCTACCACCGTACCCTCGGCTTGTTCGGCATCATCCGAATTAGTTGGAACTCTCGATCATCAACCAAACAATCATCGTCCTCAGCTCAGCTTCGACCCTGTCGTTCGGATCATCCCCAATCCAGATGAGGAGAACTCGTCCGATGAAGAGAATCCTCGCCAGCGTTCCAGGAGTCGTACGAGGAAGAGACCCGTTCGGCTATGTACTAAGAAGATCGCGTCCGTTATCTGTTCTGTATCCTACATCTGAATCTCCTACTGATTTGTACTCTTTTCCGTTCTTCTCCTGCAATCCGGGTTTATTGCCCTCTTTCAGCTTACCACTTAACATCTCAACCAGCTCTCTGATCGGAATCGGCCACCATAGCAATCACTCTAACGCTTCACTCATCCCAAACTCCCCTCCAGGCGGCGTATCTAGCAGAGAACTCTTTGCGCAAACACGGAAAGAGATCGACGAAGATGAGCAATTCATCCCCGACGTCCCTCGCTATCTCAACCTCACCCTTCCTAGTATCACCCGTCAACCGGATAGAAGGGCACTCAGGCTGGAAGAAGAACATAGATTGGAGCGATGGAGGCAAATGGGAGGCGGTCATAAATCAAACCTCAAACCCAACGCTTTCTCCAACCTCTCTCATCTATCACCCGCTCTTCGAGAACAACTGACCAGCGCAACTGTCCCGATTCAATTAACTACCAACACCGCCATCAATTCAATTGCTTCCTCCATTTCCCCCGATGATGTGTTGACCCAGAGCGCGTCCTTCTCCAAGCAACTCACATCAGTAGACTCAAAGGGTTAGTTGCTGCTTGGGATTAGCGTTTGTAGTAATGATTCATCATTAATGGCCTTGTTCTGATCTGTCGGTTTTCTTTTGAATCCATAGCTCAACTTAAGAATTCAGAACCTGTCCATTCAATCGCACCACCAATCCCTGGCACAATTACCTCCCCCGACTGTGAACCTGCCCACATTTCGGTATCAGTCATTGATCAGACAGTCTGCGCCGAGTCTGAGTCACCCTGTCTATTGATGAAAGACGGCTATAAACGCTCTCCATTTCGATGGTTTGGCCAAAAAGCTAAATCAATTCGTCTAGATAGGCAACGAAAGGTTTCTGGTAATCTCAGAAACGCCCCCACCTCACCTCCTGCAGAATCGACCGGTGATTCACCTCCTGCCCCGTTACAGAAAACCCCTACTCCTGCGTGGGTTGATCAATCATCACAATGCATGTCACCTGATGAATCGCTGGAAGGGGCACCACTCAAGCGGATGTCCACTCCTCGCTGTCTAGCTGAAGAAGTCGTGATAACTGGAGCTCCATTACAGAGGACGGCAACACCCAGTACCTCTTTACAAAAACCTTTGGTTGTACCGCCTCAACATAACTCTACTCAAGGCGCCCCATTAGAGAAAACCTCGACCCCTGGTGCTGCTTTACAACGGTCCGCCACCACCGGTACCCTAGGCAGCAAACCCAAACAGGCTACGTTCTTCAAGAAGCTAGCGATCTGGCGAAAAACACCCCCTTCATCGGACCGGACGGAGTTAACCATAGATCCTGCGTCAGGTATTCTTGACAACGTCATGGTCATCTCAACCACCTCTCCCACTCTTCCAAGCAACCCAATCCAAAACCCATCTAACGCTAGCCTGTTATTGGAAACCAATGGTGATGCTTTGTCGGACATTCCGACAGACAAGTGGGGATCACGGAAAGAAGTTCCATTGCGCGAATGCTGTAACACGTGTTTAAGTTCTGCTAGCATTGAAGCTGCAACAAGTCTTGACAACCAACTCTCACCAGGTGCCCTCAAGCATTATCACAAGAAAAGCTGGATCTTACAGGATACCTTAAGGCAAGGTGGCATCCCTTCTCAGCAGATCAAGCTCATTTCTGAAGAACTTGGTGCACCTTACACTTCTTGGGTTGCTCAAGACTCCAAGTACTAACATGCACTACCTGTCATGGTAATATCCCCTCATCCTACAACTTATACCCACAAAGCACCTCCTTTTCTCTTGTTCCTTTTTTTGAACTAATTTCCCCATCCCACAACTATCATTATCATTCAACTTTATTTTCTCTTTTTCTTATGATATCCACTTTCACATGAGCTTCTAAGAACTGATCAATTGTGGAAAGCAAAATTCATACTTCATTTATCTATTCTGCAAAGCCACCAAAGCATCAGTTCTGCCACTTCTTAGCCATAATTGTCTTGTTTGATTTTGATAAGCATTCCTCTTCTGATTCCTTCATGTGCTCTAAAATATTTTGTCAATCATTGAATTCTCTACAATCTTTCATCAAATTCCCTAAAATCTTTCATCAATTTCCAAAAAGCTTTGAATGATTAAATTTGTTTTTCCACCCCTCTATGTTTCAAAAACCTCTCCAATCTTTCTTGGTTGGAGGGGTGATGGGAGTGTAGCATCAACAGGCAAGAGTGTAACACATGCAGTGACACTCTTGACTGTGACAGTTAATATATAAAATATCAGACAAAAATGTAAGCAGATATGAGGGCCAGTATGGTGGGATTCATTTTTGAAAAATGGACATTTTTTCAGCCTTCCACACAAAATTTGACAAAGAGGAGCCAGATCTAACATTGAAATTCTTCACTTCTATGCTAACAAATGGCTTCTGGTGATTGTCCATTTCAGTGAAACAAAAATTTGAGTAAGATCAATTCTGAAAAGTTAAATTTTCATGCCCTTTGGTACTGGCCCTTATATACTGATAAAGTATAATTCCAAGTGTTTTCAAGTCAGTGATTTAAAGAAAAAATATTCAGGGTTCTCCCTTACAAATGCCAAAAATAAAAAAATTAAATTGAGGGGTTTCCCCTTATAACAACAAAAAACAGAAAAACTTGACTTGACTTCAATTAAACTACAATGAATGCTCACAAGAATTACAAAAGTGAGAAGAAAAAAAGCAACCCAACACCAACAAAGCTGGTTCACTTGGACTGGGAGGCCAGCCCATGTTTCACATGTTTAACAAACACTTTGGCTATGAAAGAATCAGACACAAGTCTTAAGCAATCTCCAGGCAAAGTGTGCTGAGCTAGCAGAAGCAGTTGCGGTGGTAAGTTCCAACACAAATAATTTGGCTTTTATGTATGTTCTTGGAAACACTGCCAACATTATCCACTCTGATTCACTGATCAGAGTGGTGGTCTCATTTTCCTGTCCGAGTGGTACTTGGACCAGCCATGCCCAAGGGGTGGCCCGGTCCAAGCTGAACTCGGATCGGTCCAATCAGTTCCTCCACTCAAGCTAGATAGACTCAAAATCAGCTTGACTTCTTCTCCAGCTAGTGGAAGTCCAATGAGCTGGTCTGAGCAGATTGCATGGCTGGACCTGACCAACGGTGGGCCGCTACGCTACACTACACTATTTGGCCACTACATGTTAACGTAGTTGCTTTTTTCTTTGCTGGAAATCCTGTAGTATTAGTTTACGCTACACACCGCTGAGCTAACTGCCAGCGTAGCGTGAAATTTTTCCCTCCAATTTTTTTTTAGTGTTAGCTTGACATAATTGCCACTAAACTAACAAGTAGCGTAACTTTTTCCAAGCTAACAAAACTTCCACTAACCAACAGCATAACTGAGTTGACACTAACATTTAGTGTAACTTATACCAAATTAAGCTACACTACGCTACACTACATGCCTAGTTACGCTACACTACATTAGAAGTTACACTACACATGTAACTCATCAATTAAAGAAATTGATGTGTCAAGCTGGATTTTTGCACAACTTTTGTGAAATGTTCATATGACTGATACGGCCGAGGTCCATGGTGACGATTTTCAATGTCCCGTGATTGCACACAATCCTGCAGAAAATGAACAGCACAAGATGTGGGGAAAAACAAACTGAGGATGTGCCTGGTGAGATTTGAACCCACAACCTCAGCAATGCTGAGTCACATACAAGAGTGCTTCCTTTACCAACTAGGCTACAGATGCTTGTGGTTGTCAGGTCAGTTGGGTACTATGATACACCTCAACACACACACACACACACACACACACACACACACACACACACACACACACACACACACACACACACACACACACACACACACACACACACACACACCCTTGCTGAATGAGGTCAAAGTGGAAATTGAACACAAGTAAGTGTGGGAATGGAACCCATTAAAGTATGGTCAGAGGGGGAATTGAACCCATGGTCTTAAGGTAGTCTGACAGGGGAATGTGGTCTTACAAGTAAGTGTTAAAAAATGGCAGGGGGCTAAAATTGAGTGCCCCCAGCACCAACTGAAAAAAAATGATGATCAATTGAGAGGATCTGGATGTAGGCCCCCCAATCAGGCACTGTCTTCAGGGTAGACTAGCGCTAGTCATGGTGTCATGTAACTACATAGTCAGTTACACTAACAGTTAGTGTAACTGAGGGTACCACTACACTAACTGTTAGTGTAACTTTGCAAAAAGTTACACTAACATGTAGTGTAGTGGGTTCACCCACTAACACCGCTAAAATTTCACTAACAGGATTTTGGGTAGTGTTAGTTGTGCCTTTTTAAAGGTAGCTAACACTACGCTAAAGTTGTTTTTTTGTTTTTCAAAAATCCTGTAGTGTTAGTGGGTCAAAAATTCCCGCTAACGGTAACTTTTGTGTAGCTTAGCTTAAAAAGCTAACACTACGGTTAGTGTAACTGGCCCACCGTTGACCCGACTGGTTTGATTAGTAAGCTAGATTGAGCCAGTTGGTTCCAACAAAACATCAGAGCTGGTCTAAGCAGTGTGGCTCATTGGACCCGCTGAATCCAAGTAGTTTTTGCATCATTTGAGCAATTCAATTGCTGGGACAAGCAGTCAGCTCAGTGGTTCAAGCATTCAATTGCCATTGTTGACCTAGTCAAATCCGGATTCTTTGATTCAAGATATCCTGGTTTGTTGGTAAGCAGACCAAGAATGCTTCATCCTCACTCTCCTCAGAACATCAACCAGAAACAAATACAGAAAAAGATTGGAATGGAGTGATTTCAGATGCGGCATGACCTTGGACAAACAATGTCTCAACAACAACAACACACATCCTACTGTCCATGTCTGACTTACTCAATGTCTCGATCCTCAATCACCAAGCCCATCCTCTTTGCCCACCTAACCAACCAACTCCAAGTCCATTCCAAGCCCATCTCCTCCATCCTCTCAGCCCAACCACACACCCTCAAACCCTTACCTACCTCACCCCATCAATCCCCTTATAACCCATCATCCTCCCAATCATCATCAGAAGAACCAGAAGAAGAGATCCCCGAGGTGGAAGAGGAGGAGCAGGAAGCCTTTGCCTCAGCTGTTCAATCCCCAGCCATTGGTGAGGTCAATGATCTCCCTTTGCATCAGAATGTCCTGATGGAAACCAAACAAATCACCTCTTTGACCAGGTTGAAATCATCTCCCGAATCATCACTGTCCCGACCATCAATTGAGTCCTCTCACAATCAGCAGAAGACAAGGCTTTCCAACTGGCAGAAGAACCTTGAGTCAGTCATTTGTGATCAATCAAACCAACTCATTTTCAAAGCAAGTACTCATAACTAATATTTTCTTTACAAGATTTGTTATCCAGAAGTGTTGGAAATCTTGATTACTAACGAGGAGGATACATATGATAATATTAAACAAGAAGATCAAATTCATGCAGGACCTGATTAATCGGTTTGAATTAATCCATGATAATTACTGGCATGAAACTAAGGATGAAGATCCTACTTATAAAATGAACAAACAGAAACTGGAACTTGATCATATTCAAAAAGTAATCCAATTTTTAGAGAAAACCATTGATCTAGAATTGCTTAGATCACTTAATATTTTTGAACAAGCAAAACATAACAGATGGCTTGAAAAATTTACATCCTCAACAATGGGTTGCACTTACAGTCAAGTTTCTCGCATAATCAATCAAGCCAAACTCAAGTATTTGGAAAAAAAATTTGAGTTTGGATTGAAAGATAGAATGGTTTTTCTTCCCTTTTTTGTATTCTGTTGGAATTTTGGACCTTTGATCCGCTCCGCTCCTCCGGTCTCAATCAACTCTCCTCTGTACTTTCTTTTCCTCTTGCTTCTTCTTAATCTCCTCCTGTTTCATTCCCCTTTTGTTATCTCCTTTCCTCCATCTTCCAACTTCCTTACCCTCCGACATCATGAATCCGGTGCATAAATCAAAACCACAACTCAGCCAATCAAGACACTCACTATAAAAAGCGGTGTGATGGTCCAGGCTGTTGTGCGCAACAAAACTGCCAAAACCCCTACCTTACAACCTAAACCGCTTACATATATGAACATATTATTGCATAATCAGAATCTGCATAAAATGTTACCCATAGTCACTCACTACAACTATACCTCTATCTCTATTAGTTTAGAAGATAGTCCAATACAAAGGTTAAAGCCATACCATAACTAGTCATTAATTAGTATTTAATAGTATTTTACCGCACATAAATTATTCCATCAGCAGGCCTCCACCAGTAGTGCAGATCAGTTATGCAACTCTTGCATGCATACGTTGTGGTGAGATTGATCAAACCCATAGATCTAGTAAAAAACATTTTATTACACATAAATAGTGTTTAAGATGTTAGAGAAGAAGGGGTAAAATATAGAATACAATGTATAATAATTACTGGGTTAAAACATAGCTAAGATAAAGCCCAAGTCAGGCCTAAAATACATAAATCCTTATGAATAATAATTATACAAATAGACTGTAAAAACACATAAAGAGATACTACATCCATCTTAGATTGGTAAATCAAGGTATTGATCAGAAAGTACTTCACAGACTAGCTTTAGAAAATAACTCTTATACTAATTAGTCCAAGAATACCATTCTCATAGCAATTAATCTAAGAATAGGCCTCATATAGTAGATTTAAAACCTCTTGTATTAGAAAGGCACTTAGAGACTAATTCATATCAGATTAGGCCATCTCAGAGTAGTAAAAACCACTCTAGAAGTACCCTTCTCAGACAAACTTGTGTTCAGGCCAAAATCCCATGTACTGCAGAACAATTTGTCTATAAATAGAGGCTCTTCTGGCTCATGTTTTCCTTTCTCCCTCCTCATGCTAGCTACAGAACAGTAATCAGAGATATTACTCAGCTTTCATCACCCTTGATTAAGAGATCCAGAGATTATTAGAGCCCTTGCACTTCCCTTACCTCAATTTTTGGCCATAGAAAAGTAATTCAGAAATATTGCTTAGCCATTCTCACCTCCTTGAAAGATTTAGAGAAATCAACACACCTTTTATCAGAGCCCAGAGAAACCAGAGAGACTTATAAGATCAGAGAACCAGAGAGAATTTATAACAGATTTAACAGAGAAACCCTACAGAAACCCTTATTACTCAGAAAACCCCATAAAACTCCTTACCTCCTCAACAGGTATTCTTAAGCAACAACAACAGTAGTATCAACACTAAGATAAATTTAGAAATAAGCCACACTCTTATTTTTCTTAGTGTAACTTTCCCGCAAGCTAGACAGGAGGGCAGTCTCACCCACACACCAATACTAATTCTACTATTTCATAGTCTTATTAGCTATTTTATCCCCTCTAAGCTCTTTACTCACTTGCTGAGCAGTTCCACAAGTGGTGTCCCAACAGTGGCCGATTTCCTCAGATAAATTTAGTCTTTTTAAAAAAAATACTACTCCCTTTTGCTAGTCTTACTCAGAATAACTGAACCTTTCTCAAATCTCGCCTTAGAACCCTTACAACAGATTAGCAGAAAAATGTCTGAATACACCCCTCTCATCAATGTCGGTAACACTGCCTTTACCCAGCACCGAGAACCATCCGTAGCTTCTTCTGGAAGTTCCCTCATCCATCCTCTGGACACCAGATTAGACATGCCGCAACCCAGTCCTATTACTCCAGATAACCATCTTTGGTCTCATCACTCAGTAGCAGAATCCAACACCCATTTCCTCGAAAAAGAACCCGAAATTCCTAAATACGCAGGACCAACTGATAGTCGAAGGGTAGTCAAGATTAAGCCTTTAGACAAGGAATTATTTTTCGATGGAACAAACATGCCGATAGAGAAGTTTATTAAGCGGTATGAGTGTGCGGGAGAAGCGGATGGAGCTAGCGCTACGGATTTGGCAAAACAGATCATTTCGTTCATAAGAGGAGGCGATTTGAAGGATGAGGTTGAAGAGATGGAGGGATATGAGACGGTCGAGTGGGAGGAGCTGAAGAAACAATTGTTGGATCGGTTCGGAAAGTCTCTGCCTCTGGTGAAATATACAAAGCAAGACTTAAAGGATTTAGTCAACGCCGCTGCCAAGAAAGGAGGCATTCGAACTTTGGAGGAGTTCAAGATATTTCGGTCGAAATTTGAAATGATCACTCACTACTTGGTTCGGATGGGATACAACTCTGACTTAGAAGATTTTCGAGAATTATTGTTGGAGGCTTTGAGTCTACCGTTAGAAACTGCTGTCACTCGGGAGCTTATCTGTGATAACAAGATGCACGTTTCTAAGGATGGAGGCGATATTCTACCGGTTACCAAGATCATCGTTCAATATATTCAGAGAGAAGTTCAGTCAACCTCTGTAATGGAACGTAGATCGTTGGGAAGGCTTGAACAAACCAACGTAGAGCCAGCTAAGCCCATCAGAAACCCCATTTCCAGACCCTCAGCACCAGCACCACAGCCAGAATCCTTCGAGAAAAAGATTCAAGATCTTACCAGACAGTTAGCCTCTTTGACAGCAGGAAAGATGGCACCTCCGCACCAACCTTTGGATGCAAATCTCCCACCCTCAGCTGCTCCAACCAACGTACCCTTCAAGAAGCCAGATTTCAAGTGTTACTACTGCTTTCAGGATACTAACAGTAGCAATAGATGTAGTCTATTCACCTTTGATGAATCTCGAGGACTAGTAAAGCGTGAAGGACGGGACTATCTTCTGCCAGACAACACCAAGATTGCATGGGATACTCGTCGAGCCATTAAAGATGAAGTGGATAAATTCGATCGTAACTATAAGAAAACAACTGCGGCTGTGGCCACTTCCTCGTTTGGAGAGCTTGAGGAATGTGAAATTGAAGAACACGCAGCATATGACGTGGACTTGGGGAAGCGAACACGATCAGAAAAAGAACCGGAAAAATCTGGAAGTGGGAAGAAGGGAAGAGTTGAGAAGGATGCTGTAATGAACATTGACGCCGAGGATTTGATCAAGAAGGCAACGGCTCAAAAACCTGCTCAAGGACCTTCGAAAACTACTACCGTACCCGCTAAGGTTAGATTTGAGGAACAAAAATCTGAGAAAGAAGAGAAAGAAAAATCGGTGAAGAAAACTCACTTGGAGAAAACTTTGGCGAAGGAATATCCAGGAGTCGAAGAAGAAACGGCGAAGCGCATGTTGACAGAGGGAAAAATGACTCTAAGCTATGGAGAAATTTTTGCTATCTCGAATGGAGTTGTGGATGTCTTCAAGAAGAAGATTTCAAACAGACGAGTACCCGTGGAAGAAAGCGAAAGTTCCAATCACGTGTCTCTGGAAAATAATGAAGAAGACAAACTTTCAGTAACGCACTATTCCTGCCCTCTAGGTTATATTAAACTTAGTATTAACGGTACCAATAGCGAGGCTTTATTGGATGCTGGATTGATGGTGAATTTGATGCCGGAGCATATGGCGCAGAACTTAGGATTGGTCGTAACCGAGAAACCGATGAACTTGAAAGGAATAGGTGGACACCAGACAGGAATCATTGGAATCGCCGAGGGAGTCGAAGTGGTGATCGGAAAAATAACAAGACCCGTTCACTTTTGGATAGCCCGAGGAGTGGTACAGTTCATCTTAGGAAAACCTTTCCTGATTGACGCTGCAGCTACGATCAAATACATGGATAACGGCGGAGAATCTTTGGCTATCATGGATAAAAAGGGAAAGACTTATTTAATTCCAATTCTATTACCATGTCATCAGAAATGGGAGACCACTTTACCCACGCATCTAGTTACACGGGATTTTTTAGATTAGACCCCGGACAAAGACTGCTTGAAGTAGATAAGGAGCCGGGGAAGGTTAGAATTGAGTGTCAAGCTGCAAAGTATAAATCTGATGAAAAACAGGAATTATAATTGAAAGCAGAACCAGAACTGTAGAAAAAATGTAAGACAAAAGGTTAACAACAATGAAATGTGAATAGGAAATAATTTGAACAAAAGAAATAAAAGTTGACAATGAGATTTACCACGAGAAGTGTTAGCTTTTGAGTTAGACAGAACTGAAAGACTGAAGTAGATTAGATCAAAGAGAGAAAAATAGTAGACACTGTTTCAGGCAGAGAATAAAAGAAAAGAGAAAGGTTAATGATGTTCAGCCAAGTTTCGGAGAAATGAGGACATTTTTTCTCACCAAATTGGCAAGAGCCAAATGAGAATTTCGACGGAGAGAGTTGGTGGAATTAGAATCAGTGGCGGTTGAGAATCTGGGATAAAGTTGAGTCGTTGCCGATGTGATTGGACAAGAAGGGAGACAAGGGATAGAAGGTAGAGAAAAAGAGA